GTAGTGGTAGTGGTAGTGGTAGTGGTAGTGGTAGTGGTAGTGGTAGTGGTAGTGGTACCAACAGATGGCAAAGCGAACATGGCTGCCGACAGTTTCACTACACGAGTAGCCGCTGGCCACTTAAGGCTCAAAACTCCCAGGCAGTCCATTATCTCATAGCGCAATGGATGCATTTTCAAGAGAAAATCCTGAAATATTAGGAAATATTGAGCTTTGAACAAAATATTTGCTGATTGGCTAATTCGCTTGAGATTCAAGAGAAGTCAAATCACCTGGTTGGCTGGACAATCCAAAAGACATATATTTACCGTACAATGTGTGCTCAAATTAAAGTGATTTGAGACAAAATATATTTCTATAGAACAGGCAAGCTTTATGTTTACGATAAAGTGCATTAGCACTGAATGATGTTTATCGTGATTTCCTGCCTCCTGGGTCAACAAAAGAGAGCATTAGATTTCCAGGCCTGCTTTTCACAAGCGGCGAACGAATCGTTATCCTATATTTCTCTTTACTTTTTTTGCAAACCTTCTCACAAAAGACAAATATTCTTATTCTACCCCCCTTCCCCCCAAGTACTTGGGGATTTTTGAAATATTATTTAACTGGTTTTAAAGATTTTTTTCACTGATCACTGGCGCCCCACGTCTGCCGTGAACGAAATTTTAAAAATCTCTATTGTCACCTGTATGTCAAAACAGGTGAACAAATATGGATCCACCACGCATGCGCAGCATCTATGCTTTTGTAGAGTATTTTGTTTGGCAATAACTGATTATTTTTAGTTTTGTTTTGACCTTCATAATACATGGTAATTCAGAACAATGTTTGCCGGCCTCTTGTTGGAGACTAATATGTTTGGAAAAAATTTTTACTTCTTAACAATTGATAGTTTTCAACCATTCCCAAGAGAATTAAACAACGAAAGACACATCGGCCATGTTGGAGGATATAACAAGAATTGTCAATGAATTCTTTTGTTAAAGTCCTCCAACATGGCCGACGTGAAAACCATCAATAGTAAGATTAAAGAAAAAACACAAAATTAACAAATATCAAAAAGAAACACGCTCGCTTAAATTAACTCAAGGCAACATGGTCGAGTGGTCTTAGCGTCGGTCTCGCAATCCGGTGGTGCCGGTTTATTCAAATTTGAACCTTGCTACCTCGACTGAATGCTTTGTGTTTAACAAGTGAACCGATTTATGGAAAATGGGGAATTACGTAACAATTGCGCGCGCAATTTGTATCCAGACACCTGAGTGGGGGATTAGAAACACATTACATTAGACCTCCAAATAGGGTCTTTTGAGCGTCACATGGCGAAAGTGCTCATTTGAGCCTCTACTCCATCGAACTTGGGAATCAGTAATGATGAAAGGGTAAATTTTACACCGTGAAAAGATGAAAACACTTACTGATATTTAGGACGCTATTCCTTCGTCGGAGTCAAAGAGGGATTGGGAATCTGCCGGTTCACCAGCTTAAGTRGGCAAAACATAAATAATTTCAGGTGGAAAGTGACACCTCAGTTTTACAAATGTTCTTCATTTTAATTGGCTAACATTTTCTCTCCATCAACTGCTTACACCTTTTTCTTTTTTTTTTTTTTTTTTTTTTAAATAATAATTTCGCTAATTTTCCTTCCCTCTCCCTTCTTTTTTCGGCTTTGTTGTTCTGTGGTTTGATTTTTTCAAATGCTTTGTTTTCGGCGAATTCATTTGCTCTTCAAAACATTGGGATCTAAAACTCGAAGTGGTGCTATCCTTGATTAAATAATCACACTACTGACTGCCAGACTGCAAAACTACCAGTGATTTGAAAATGGATATAACTAAAATGTCAAAAAGTCATTTATATAATCCGTTGATAAATGATAATTGCTGTTGGTGTGTGCTTTTCTTGCCGCCATTCGTCCTGATTTTTGACACATAACTCAAATATCTTAATACCTTCTTTTATGCTATTTGTACAGACGGCCGAATTGAATGGTATTACGAGTTAATTAAGTAGAAAATAATGGTATAAAATAACTCTGAGGACTAAAAAATATCGGCTTTAGTCAACGGCTTTTGAATACAGTACTGTCATGGCGCTGATGTGGACCATCTTGATCTGTTTCGTTGGAGGAGCACTATCAAAGAGCGTACGTAAGTTTTTCCAATTTTTTCTTTATATCATTCTTTTAAGCTTTTTTGTTTTGTTTTGTTTCGTTTTGTTTYGTTTTGTTTTGTTTGTTTTTTTGCTGTTGTTGTTTTTTTCTTCTTCTTCTTTTCTTTTTTTTGCCATTGATGACACTCGAATTACCAAGAACACTTTGATACTTTTGTGACTTTTTTTCAAAACTGAATACTCTAAGTCATCCCTTGAACCAATCAATTTAAATTGGAAACATGATGTATTTTGATCACTTGGTGTATTTGAGCTTAATGCTTCATTTTAGAGGGTTTGTAACACTAGGAAGTCCAGGAAATAGAAAATAATAATAATTAAAAAAAACAAAGTAAAAAAAATGTTTCTTTCTTTTTTTGAGACTAGGATTTATTGGACTTCCGGTATAAGAGCGCATGCGTTCAAAGGCTTGCCATCCCCCCCCCATTTTGTTTCCTATCTCTAATTTTTAAACACAGAACTCTTTTTGAAAGCATGATTTTCATTGATTATACAGTCAATTCAAAAAACGTTGTCGTCGACCGACTCAAGCCTACGCGACTGGAACGAAAGGAATATGGGTAAAAATCACTGAAGCGGTTAAATATTCGTTCTGAATTAATTGTTCCCGCTAGTAATAAGATAATAATGGCGAGAAACAATCCATCAAATGCATGTCTTTGGGTTTAGGGAAAGAAAAAAAAAAAGTAGTTATGATTCAATTCACAATTTCGAAAATATGAAGGCATTAAAAAAACGTTTCCTTCAACAATTCCCGCCTTGCCTACGAAGGTTCGTGCTGTAAACCAGGCATAACTAGTCAGATAAAATTATGGAGTCAACTCGGCTTCAATGATTGCTACTCAGAGATCCTTTCGGTCCAGTCTCGTTGGCTTGAGTTRRTCGACGACAACATTTTTTGAATTGACTGTATTTCCCTTCAGGAAAATTGTGCATGCGCCAAAAAAAAATGGATTATGCTCATGTTGCCCACGCTGCAGCAGTTAGGGATTTTCAAAGAGGCATGTTTCCTCGTACGCTACGTTTTCCTCAACTAATGCCTGGTTGATCTTTTGCTCACTGGGGCCAGCTAAATAGTGTGAATTTTCATTTCTGTGGCCTCGAAGCTTTATACTTCGTATCACATGCGAGCGGAATTTGTTGGATATCGCAGAAAGAAAAGGGAATGACACATGGTATGTCATTCGAATACAAAGAAGCAGTTCTATTCCTCTGTCCGCAAATCGAACTGGCGAACTGATAAGATTAGTTGGCCATATTGCATTGCCTGACTTAAATCAGCCCAGAATTTGATTTTCTGGTTTTATAAAATCAATGCCAATACTTTGCTTTGTTTTGTATTGTTTCAGCTTTGTGCGGAACTCGTCCACACACCAGGATAATTGGAGGCCAGGCGGCTCAGCATGGGGACTGGCCTTGGCAAGCAATGTTTCGCTTATACATTAAAAACCGCTGGCGACAATGGTGTGGGGGCTCATTGATTTCTCCTCAATGGGTTCTAACAGCAGCGCATTGTTCTTTTGTTTGGCAAAAAAAGAACATAAGAGTAAGGTAGATGCAACCGTATCATTATTATTATTATCATTATTATTATTATTATATTACATTATTATTATTCTCTTTTATATATATATATATATATATATTATAAATGGA